TAACTTTGAGTTGTGTTTGGTAGACGGTTTGTGGACCCAGCTGGGAAAATAGTAGTCCTTCTTAGGCGTTTTGGGGTTTGTGTTGTTTTTTTTTTTTGGGGGGGGTGATTATTTTGTTCTGTTTGGTTGGAAGGTTGTGATTCTGCGATACTGGAATAACTTGTCAAAAGACAGCACTACGATTTTCTTGCTTGTTGCTTGCCTGACAGTCCTCGTATGCAGAGACTAGGAGTTGCAAGTGAAAACCTAAAATGTTTTGTGCAAAGACTATGGAAGTTTAGAACCATTCAGTTCCTCATAGAGGGAATAAATTATGAGGTCTGTGGCTGATGAAATAACTGGTGTCCTGTTACATAACCAGATCTCTTGTGCATTTTTTCTTCAACATCTTCCACCACCTCCTTATCCCTGCTATCCAGGCTTCACTCCATATCCACCTGAAACTTCGTATGTTTTAGAGAGGAAAAATACTTGAGCTTGAACTGCGAGTGTCCATAGACTGGTAATTTTGATTAATGAAGGCTGTGGATTAAAATGCTATCATATCTGTGTTCATGCCTAAATAATTAAAACACAATCATCTGGTTCAGTCCTAAGCTATAAACTTGTACAGTGTTTAATAGTGTTTACTTCTACCTGTGCGTTGTTCCCTGTTACTTTCAGTGTAAGTGTGTACTCTTGTATCTTGTGCTGGACAGTAATAGGATCAAACATAGTTTATCTTCGTATAACCTATTTCTAAATTACAAAGGCCTTAATTAAGGTGAGAAGGAGAAGCAAAATGTGAGCAACCCTGATTTTTCAAGTACAGCGAAGTTGCAATAGTGATGGCTGCTAGTATGGGGAATATAGCAAAATGGTTAATTGAAGTGTGTGGTTTTTTTCCTTAAAATAAGAAGGCAGTGTAGGGCTACTTTTTAAGGACAGGGATGAATTCCCAAGATACCTTTTAAAATTCATCTTGCTTTTGCACCTAGGCCAGATTCCAGAGGAAGAGCTGCATAGTCACCAGGTAGTGGTTGTTCATCCCACTGTTACTCCTGTCAGAATGTGGATATAATACTTGCAGATGCAAGAAACTGTCAGAAATGGACTTTCATTAGCCCTTTCATAACTTCCTTAGAGGCTAAGGTTTTGGAGCAGCAGTTCTTGGTTTTACCATAAACACTGACATTTAGTGAAACATGTCCATCTTTGGTCTGAGTTTATAAATACGTGGTAAATTCTCAGGTAAGTGACTATCCACACTGTTAATGGGGTCAGCGTCTGGCTATGCAGGTGGACAGAAAGTAGGTATTTAATGACTTGGCAGGTGTTTATATCTCTTTGTTGGAGATGAGTTCTCTGTAGTATGGTCCCAACTTCTTCAAGATGCCTGCTTTAGATAGAGTGGCTACCAGCTGTGGCTTGCAGGCCTTGCAGCTTTCATTTTTTGGGTTGCAAGGGACCTTTAAAGGCCATCTAGTCCAACCTCCCTGCAGTGAGCAGGGACATCTTCAGCTAGATTGGGTTACTCAGAGCCCCATCCAGCCTGTCCTTAGATGTTTCCAGGGATGGAGTGTCTGCCACCTCTCCAAGCAATCAGTTTCAGTGTTTCACCACCCTTGTTGAAAAAATTTCTTCTTTTATCTAGTCTGAATCTGCCCTCTTTTTGCTTAAAACCATTATCCCTTGTTCTATTGCAGCAGGCCCTACTAGAAATCTCTGTCCCCATCTTTCCTATGAGCCCCTGTTTAAGTACTGGAAGGTGCTATAAGGTCTCCCCGGAGCCTTCTCTTCTCCAGGCTGAACAAGCCCAACTCTCTCAGCCTGTCCCCATAGCAGAGGGGCTCCAGCCCTCGGAGCATCTTTGTGGATGTCCTCTGGACTCGCTCCAACCAGTCTATATCCCTCTGATGTTGGGGGCTCCAGAGCTGGATGCAGAACTGCAGGAGGGGTCTCACGAGAGCGGAGTAGAGGGGGAGAATCCCCTCCCTCAACCTGCTGGCCACACTTTTCCTGATGCAGCCCAGGATACGGTTGGCTTTCTGGGCTGCCCGCGCACACTGCCGGCCCCTGTCCAGCTTTTCGTCCGCCAGTACCCCCGAGTCCTTCTCCTCAGGGCTGCTCTCGATCCATTCTAGTCCACAGGCTAGAGTACTGCTGAAGACGTCTAGTTGTACAGTAGTCTGGTGCCTGTTTTTTTTTTTAAGAAGGGAAATAAGTATCAAAAGTCATTATTCATGAAATGGAATAAAATGGAATTTCCACTTGAATTTGACTGTGGAAATTGCAAGTTCCCTGACTTGAAAACCAGCCCTTTACAGCATGTGCTGAACAGTGCTATCTTGCTAAGTGTGCTCACAGTGCCAAAACATAGCTTTTAGGTTAAGCAAACATTAGTTCCTGCCATCACTCTCCTGATAAACTGCAGAGCAAGCCTTTCCACCTCTATTTAGCTGATAAACTTTATCGGAAGATGGACTGTTTGACTAAGAGCAGTTTTCTGTAAATACATTGAATGCCATCCTCTTTGCTTTGGCAGTCAGTGCAGATCTATTGTTAAATTAGGCTGACTGACCCGATATTCGACAGCAGGAAATGTGAAAGATAGGGAAACTGTGTCAAGAGAGAATTTATGCTGCGAAAGGCGAACATCTCTTTCATAGATGAAAATCTTAGGAAGAGGCAGATAAAAATCTTGGTCCAATGTCTGAAGTTTTTTTCTGCACCCTTCCAGATAGAAATTTTGGATTTGGAACAGCTGTAAAAATCTGAGTAATAGCTCAGAAACATTTAAATAAGTAGGCTATCCGTTAGAATTTTTCAGTGTGTTTGCTGGCTTGTTTTGTCAAAGTGAAATATGGGAGTTTCCTCTGTCAGACCTTCATCAATCCAGTAACGGGTCTTGTAGCAGAGATACTCCTTAAAACATGACATCTTGATGCTTTGGGAAGCTTAGTGAAACGCTCTGTAAATGGGGAGACGTAGAGGTGCAGACTGCGTAAGTCAGCGCAGCTTTTAAAATGCACGTAGCTGCGGAGCTCGGATGCAGGTACAGGATGAAGCTGTAGTTGGTGTGAGTAGCTCTGGTTCTGTTGGCTCGACTGGATATACTGTTCTCAAAAGGTTGAGAGCGCGGTGTGCTGCGTGGAGGACTTGAATCTTCTGTAGGAAAAAGGGTGTTCGGTAATTTGCTTGGGGTAGTCGCGTTTGTCTTGGTTGAATTGCCAGCCTGTCTGTGCATTAGTCAGCCAGCATAATTTAAGGGAAAAAAAAATCCAGACTGGAAGACAAGGAGACTTCTGTTGGCTTACAAAGCTGTCTTCTGTTGTTGGTATGTAAGTACAGTGTTTTAAATAAATTGGAGAACGAGAAGTGAGACTTTTACTACTGGTTTTCACTGCTGGTTATGAGGAAGGGAGGGAGACGAGTGCGATCTAGAGGTTGTCTTAAAGTTAAAAGGGTATTTGGACATAATCAGATTTTTATTAAAAATAATCATAAATCTGACCTGCTGTTGAGCTAGAGTGAGCTCGTACTGGGAGAGGAGGGAGGATTAAATGTCAGTCTGTAGGATTGCATTGGCCTCCCTAGGGTCTGTGCTTAGTATTTTATTTTTGTAGTTATAACCCCGAGTACTGATATTCAAAGAATTAATAATCTGGTGGAAGCTTTCATGACTAGAACTTAGGCCTAGTTTCTGTATATGCATACATGTATGAATACAGATGAATTGCCACTAAGCATTCTGTTTTTGGATGAGAACTTTTATCTATTACAGCAGTGTAACAAAGTACTGCCAATATTATTAGATTATAAAATTGAGCTTCAAAGTTGATAGCTAAAATAATGTAAGACTGCGTACTCAGCATTTTAGTTAGTTTATGTCTACCTTTACTAGAGAAGAGTTTTTTGTTTTGGTTTTATCTCATTTTACTTGTCAAACATGAGAACATTCGTTGACTTTCTCTAAGCTGACTTGTGTAGAAACAAACCTGAGCGCTTCAGGGGACAGGCTGCTGTCACTGCCCCTCGCAGTTTGGAAGCGGACGTCCCAGCTGAAGCTGGGTTCAGGCTTGTGCCCCTGCCTGCTGCAGGTTGCTCTGGAGCATCAAGGAAAGGCGAAACTGAGGTTAAACGTATGGAGAACTTGGGGAGGCTGTCTGTATTGCAGCTTTCCCTTGAGGAAGGGATCTTGATGCTTAATCTGGTAGGTTTCCTTCACCTTTCACTTAAAAGGGAGATGCAGGTTGCAAAACAAGGCGGGCGTACAGGAAGCATATCTCACAGTAAAATAGCACACGGAGTACTTGGAGAGCCAGCGTGTTTGCACTGATGAACATAATGCCCACTGAAGATGTATCTGTGCTGCGCCTTACCTTGGCTAAACGTGCACAGTGAGGGTTACTGCTTCTGGTGCCTGAGCGGGTTCAGGCTGCTGTCTTATGCTGCAGGTGGCTTTGCTTGCTTTCACTGGAACTGACGTGGCTTGCATAAGCGTCTAGAAGGACAGGGCCTTTAGGACTCCTTCTAGGAGTTCCTAAAAACAGGACCGTTTTGAAGAAAATGCACACTCATCATCTTTCTCTTGCCTGTGGGACCATTGGGTCAATCTGCTCTTACAGCTTTATTCTGAGGCACGTAGGTCTTTGGGTCTTATCAATATTAGATCCTCTGTGCAAGTAACATGTCGTCTGTGATGTCAAGAAGTGGGAAATGTGATGAATCTGCTCCAAAAAATTTCTAAATATAATCTTAGCAATAAATGTATGTCAGTAAGAACATGACTATGCTGCAGTTAGGGAAGTTTGCTGTTGTAAAGTGTATGTGTGCTACCCTATTACCATTTTGTCCTACTTAAAGCTGAATTAAACTTTGTGTTCACTGAAAAAGTTTCTTTGAAATTAGTGGTAGCAGTTATATCAGTAATGAAAATGTCTCTTTGTGAATAACGCAAAAATGTGTAAAAATAAAAATATCCACTAATGTACGCATGTGTGTTCTTTTTCTTTTTGCAGTAAAATGAAACAAGGTCTCCTTCCTAGCTTAGAAGATCTCCTTTTCTATACTATTGCAGAAGGACAAGAAAAAATACCGGTTCATAAGTTCATAACTGTAAGTTTGCTCTTCCAGAGTGCTGTCTGAAAGCTAACTACTACAAGGCTTTTTTAACATTCTCGATGCAAGAATGCAAAGCATTTCTGTTATACATGGTTGGCTGCAGCAAGGAATGTAACACACACCCCTCACCCCCCTATTTCTGTAATTAAGAGAATGAGTGTCCTAGTATTGTTACTACTACACTGTGCAGGAGTAAGCCTGAAAGTGTCTGTGTCTATGGCAGGGCTGGACAGTTGCAGCTGTGTAAAATGTAGTTGGATCACTGTGGATTTCAAGGGACGTTAATGCTTTGACAGGAGACGCAGCCAGAATGGCAAAATGAAATGGCAGAGGGATCATAAGGTGTGACAAAGTCTGTGTTGATAACCCAGTAGCAATTGTCTTTTATCTTAATAAATGAGACCGAGCAGTAGAGAACTTAATTGTGATAGCATCTCTTTTAATTTTAGTAATTATTGTTTCATTGTAATAGGCACTCAAATCTACAGGATTACGTACATCTGATCCCCGATTGAAAGAGTGCATGGATATGTTAAGACTGACCCTTCAAACAACTTCAGATGGTGTTATGCTGGACAAAGACCTTTTTAAAAAGTAAACTTTTGTCATTAACATAACCGTATCATTCTGAATGCATGTTGTTTGTATGTTGCCGACTGTAATTAGAAAGGGAGTCAGACACACACTCCTGATGCTATTCTCATACGAGTTTGTTCTCTGCTTTCACACAGCAGGCAGATTGCGGCATCTCCCTGAGAGTTTGATCTATCAGTGTTGTTTGCACGTGTACCTGGCCCCATAATGCAGCTTTCTGTCACATGCCAAATAATGAGTTGAAGCAGCAAGGAATATTTAGTATGGGTACATACAACTTCTCTCTCGCTGCATCGTTGGTTTCTGATCTGAAGTTCAGGATGCTGCTTCAGTGTAGGGAGATGTTCAGAGTATGTATGTAGTCATTTCTAAAAAACGAGTATGTGAAAAATAGGGTCAAGTTAAACTTCAGGGTATGTAGAGACAAGAGCAGTTAGGGCTGTTAGACGGCTTTGGTCTGTTTTGGGAAAGATTTATGTGCCATATTTTAGTGATTTTTTTTTTTTTTTAAAAGAAAACTCTGTGGTCAGTTGGCTGAACAATATGAGCACTGTTCAGGTTGTCTTCAGTTCATTCCAAGCATGCTCCTTTGCTCCCCTGCTTACACTTTTTGTATGCCAAAAGATGGGAAGTTGAGGCTTTTAAATCTTGAAATGAGAATTGTCAACTGTTTTTTTTTGAGTCTGTATTTTCATTCCATTTACAGGGTAAATGCCATAATATCTAAAACTTCCTTCTTTCCTGAAGTGTATACTTGTGTCATAATTGGTACAGTTTTCTTGTTCTGTGGCATTTTTTTGAATTTGTGAACTAGTGCTGTTTAGTGCTATTTCCTCTCAGTTACAGTTTAAAATATATGTGTATAAGAAAGGTGTGCTTATGTATATGATTGCACATGCATATAAAATATATAGTATACAATATATGCTTACACTGTATATTAACATGGTGCATGTAAATATAAGCATAAAGTATATATGTTTTTTTAGATATATATAAATATTTTTGGAAGTACATTGAGGAAAAAAAATAATGTCTGTGTGTGACAAAATAACAAACCAGTGAACCCCTTAATCAAATGGGGAATACTTAAAGATACATATGGACTATATTTATTTCTGTATTTAAGTTCAAGACCACTGGTTGGTTGTCAGCACAGTAAAAACTCTTAAATGGTTACTTTCCTGGGTGTATGGTTGGATTGGAAAGGAAATGCTTTTGCTGTTATTCATTACATTTATACTAGCAGGCTTGGTTGTGATAGTAAACTATGAGTTATGTTTTAGGCAACGGCTCTATATTAAACAAGGACAAGTGACTGCTAATTAGCAAGGTTAGCCTGTGTTCTACATCACATGTCTAGGATTTGGCCCTCGCTGTTAGGGGAGTACTTACCTAAGGACTTTGAAGCTTCAGTTCCCCTACATGTAAAAGTTAGTGGTGTAATTCTCCTGTAATGCTAGATCAAATAAAGCATGAAGAATAATTGACGTGGAGTAGTGCTAGCAAAAGCTTGACTGAATCAATCAAGCCCAGTAGAAATAACCTGTGAAATATGTTAGCGCATGCATCTGTACTGTCTGTGTCTGACAGAAGTTTCAACACCTTTTTAGTGTGGCTTCAGTGTGGCATTAGGATCCAACTTGACTAAAATTGCTTTATTTTGAAGATTTGGGGTTTTACAATGCTTTACACTTACGTAAAAATTTGGAAAACCCTCCACGTTACAGGCAGAACAACTCAGGGTTTTAACTTTTTGCCTCCAGTTTCTCAAACTGAAGGATCCTCTGGCGCGCGTTTCGGAGAGCGCTTGACTCATTTCTTGAATTAGCTGTTCATGTGGCATCTAGATAACGTGACACGTGGTCTTTGTAGCATGAATGGTGCCTCGCTGAGCACAGCCCGCTTACTGAAAGCAGCGTGGTGTGCTAGTTAGCTTGCTATGGGAATTTCTTCCCTTGTGTGTTTTTTTGCTACCCTAGCTATGGTACTACTTATTGTAGTAGTAGTGCTGCTATCCAACTGCTGTTAGATGGAACTTAGGCAATTTAATCAGTATGGAAGACTGTACATGCTAATTCTCCTTGTGAAGATATTTTGACATACCTTATTTTTTGACATCTGTTTGTATGATGTTGCAGCTAAACAGTAGAAAAAATCTAATAATCTTTGTGAGAAATACTCCTACCCCTCTTAGCCTTTCCTTTAACTCACAGCTTATTGTTCTTAATTACTTTTGAAAAGGGGCTGTTGGACGTGGAGTAGGTAACCTACTGGAGGCTGCTGGGAACAAAACCGAACAGGTTTTTTTTCCAAGCTGTGTGAAAAAGGAGTGGATAAGCATGAGAAATTGCAACAAAACCAACTCAATTGCATAGTCTAACAAAGAAGGGTATTAGAGCAATTCTTAAAATGCCAGCGTGTGCAACGGAAACCTCTCTACTGTTTCACTTTCACTCTTGGAGAGTAGTGCCTAGCAGCATTTGAAATGGTTGTCTGTTGAATTTGGGATAAAGTCTCCTGAGTATAAAGAGTTCAAACTGGAGCTTTAAGAATAGAGAGGGGGGATTCAAAGGGGAGGTAGTTCTGACAGTTCACTGGTCTTCATGAAACCTCATTTTTGATCTCAATGACTTTTAATAATGGGATTGTTGGAAGTATCTATTCCAAGTGAGAATATTTCCCTAACAATTAATTTTTTACTTTTCTGAGTAAGTCCTCCTTGTAAGGATATGTTTTCCTGTGTATTGTGGACCTAGATGTTCTTAACTTTCCATTTGTCTGTGTTAACAGTATGTTTCTGCTTTTGTCAGCACTGCAGAAAGCATAGGGGATGAACATGTTAATGAAAGCGTTCAGTGTTAAACCTCCCTTTCTCTTCCTTGCATTGGGTTAAGGCTGTTAATGTCCTTTGTCAGGTCATATTTCAACTGATGTGATAATGACTCCCAATTCCCACTGCTGCTCCTCCCCCCAGACATCCCGTTTCCAGCAGCATGTCTCAGCTTGTGTTTTGACCCTTCCCTCCTGTTTCTCGTAGATAAGTCCTTTCCTTTTTACCTCCTCACTTCTTTAAATGCAGCAGATGGGCTGATGTTCAGAGGGTGTGGATGATAACTGCATTCTGGGTTAAAAGGCAGCAAAGATTCCTTAACTGGCGGTAGCTTGAAGCAAGAGCCTTGCGGTACTGCTCACGGTTAACTCTTGCTTGGTTTAGAAGATGTTATCGAGCACTTCCACAGGGTTTTGTTCTTACTAGAGCAGAAACTCAGTCCAGGTTGGTCTGTTGGCAGTGCCTGTGCTCAGTGAACATGGTGAAACCAGTTGGGAGTGAGAAACCAACCCTGAACCTCAGAAGTCCGATCTAAGTCCAAAATAAGTGTTCCTTTGGATAAAGGCTGGATTAGATGGCCTTCACCTGTCTTGGTCCTGAGAAAGGGATGACTTATCCCTTTTGCAAGCTTAGATGCTGTTTAAAGGGAAATTGATAGTACTTTGTAGTGCAGCTGCACAGTTGAAATTCCAAAGAAGAGGTGTAAATAAAAAGGCATAAAAATGAATGCAATGAAACAATTGTAGATAATTTTTAAAAAGTAAAACTTATGAAGTGTAAAATTGAAGTCTTCCAAAGAAAGACCTGTTCTTGCAGGCATTTAACTGACAGTCCTTTAAATAGTGTGTAACTGCTACTTAAGTCGGCTTTTTGATGGCACTTTGTCAAAATACTAATAAACTCTTTCAACCTTTTGCAGGTGTGTACAAAGTAATATTGTGTTGCTTACTCAAGCTTTCAGGAGGAAGTTTGTCATTCCAGATTTTATGTCGTTTACTTCACATATTGATGAGTTATATGAAAGTGCTAAAAAACAGTCTGGAGGAAAGGTAACCTGTTTGTAAATTCAACCTCAAACTTCTTTAGATTTCTTAATGCAAACTAAATACATGCTCTCTTAAGTAGACAGGTACTTCTTAACAGTTCTAGCAAAATGTTGAACTGATACTTTGATAAAGTATTTCTGTAAGTTCAGTTATGTGCACAACTTGTAAACTGTTAGAGATACAGCTCCTTACCCCTAGCAGTCGTTTACAGTTTTGAGGTGAGAGGATAGTGTTGTTCTTTATTTTATGTAAACTATGAAACTGCTGTATAATTTGTCAGATTAAAATTTAGCCTATAAAAGAATTACGCTACTCTACACAGCTGGCTGGGTGGTGTGACAGAATTAATTGTCAGCACCATACCTGTGTTAAGTACAGTTTATTCTAGTGCTTATTTTCAAGAAGTTAATGGCAAACCCCCGAACTTTGTTACAAGCTAAACTTCTATGAGTTGAAAATGCTGCACATGCCGTAACACGGAACAGATTCCTCTTAGAATGTGCTGAAGCCTGTACTTTGAAAAAATGTTTTATTTGATAATGATCTAGGGGATACAATAATTTGTAATGAAATTTTAGATACACTAGGTCATTATTAGCATGGTAATTCAGTTGTGCCTGTGTATCCTTTCCATTGACACTTACTTTAATGAACGTGTATTGACGTACAGTTAAATATTTTGGCTGTTGTAATGCCTCTCTCTGTTTCACCTTGTGATAGGTTGCTGACTATATTCCACAACTGGCCAAGTTCAGCCCTGATCTGTGGGGTGTGTCACTCTGCACAGTGGATGGACAGAGGTATATACTAACTTCTAGGTTTTGCTATTCCAATTATTTAAACTGACACGTACAGCTCTTGATCATATCTCACGGATTCATAAAGAAAAAGCTTTAGTGGAGTTGTTTAAGAAGTAAAGTAAACTTGGTCTTCTTTCTTAACTTTTCTCAATTCATCTGTTTAAGCTGAATTATTTTGCTATTATTGTAAGATATTGTTTAAATAGTATTTGTAAATACTGTGTTTAAAGCTGGATTATGTTGCGCTTGTGGTCCAAATACAGTAATGAAGCTGTAGGTAATTTTGGTGATTACCCAAGGACAGGATAGAGAGAATGCCTGTGTAGTATTAATCACGGGAAAAGCTTTGTCTAACAGTACCTGTGCCTCAAGCTACATTACTTGTCCTGTAGGTCACGGTGTACTTAAAAGTGAATTCCTTTTCTGCATTTTAATGTAGCATTACTATATGATCGCTATGTATCACTGAAAATAATCAGATCCATATTATTTAAACAGAAAATGAAGGTCTGCAAGCTGGACAGAACTTTATGTGATACTGCTTTTCAGGTTTATGTTTTCTTATAAGGGTGCATGTAGGTCTTAGATAGAGCTAGAGTGATCTTAATTTTTTCTTTATTAGTAACTCAGTGTAGCAGATACTCCTTTACAAACAGGCAGATAAGTGTATCTTACAGCATCTAGCTGGGAAGTAAGGGAAGCTATTCTCTCTCTACCTTTATAACTAGACAATGTGAGATACTCATCAGATTTCATGTCTCTGCTGGCCTGCAGTTATGGTCATACTGTGTATTCTAAATACCAGATTTTTTAAGATGTTGAGTATGTCCTGGGTGGATGGGACATTCCTGAGAGAGCACCAGACTTGGTTATGGTGACTATGGATTGGGGTTCATTTTAATGTGATCCATTATGATCTATATGTTTGTTTCTTATTAGTCATATGCTGGCAAGCAGGAAATTTCAAACCTCTTCGTCTGTGTGTCTCCCAGGCATTCTGTTGGCGATACCAAAGTTCCGTTTTGTCTTCAGTCCTGCGTAAAGCCTTTGAAATATGCTATCGCCGTTAACGATCTTGGCACCGAGTATGTGCACAGATATGTTGGTAAAGAGCCTAGTGGACTAAGATTCAACAAGTTGTTCCTGAATGAAGATGGTAAGAGAAATGTAATACTTAATAATACTCAATTTTAGAAAATTGCAAAACAAGCTACACAGTTTTTCAGTCTTTTCATTTTACTGTATCTTCTTCAGTCTTATTATTAGACAATGATCCAAAATATTTTGCCATCAGCAAGGTAGGCTTATCCTTTGTCACTTGCTTTTGCCTAATTTAGAATGCCAGTAAAAGATGCATTATTACTTCTGTTCTATTTGCTAGCTATCCAGCTGTAGGAAAAAATAAAGCATTTTGATAACGCAGGTATTTGACCTGCGTATTTGTTTAGTTGAGCTGGTAGCAAGTGTTCCTTAATCATACCTTCTGTAAACGGATGGGGAAAGAATCAAAGATGTTAAATGGATTTTAAGAAAAAGATGTGTATCACTTCCATTCTCAGCCCCCTGAGAAGCAGGTGCTGGGGCTGAAGGCCAGCGCTGGTTCGTTTCCAGAATGCGGAATTGAACACATCTTCCCACAGAATATGGGAACTATACTGAATTTGGCTACTGCTTCAAAACAACGTCATCCAGTTCTTTTCTTTTCCTGTGGCAGGAGTGCTTTATCAAGAATTTCTCTTACAGTACTTATCTAGGTTATTTCTTTTTCACATTATATTAATTCTCAAGCATAAAAACGTTATTTTTAAAAAGATTATGGCAAAAATCTGAGAATGATGATTCATGTAGCCTTAGAGGAAATACTGGATGTTATCTTTGAAACACAAATGTTTCTTCTAGCGATTTTTCTCAGTAAGAGAACAGGCAATGTTTCTGTTGCCATGGTATTGCAATTAATATTAACAGCATAAGGCTTGGATGATATTTTTCTCAGGGATTGTATTGAATTCTGACCTAAATATTTATTATTAATATATTAATGATAGATAATTATATTTAGTACATACCTTAAAAATATCTTTCCAAACTTACAAATAAAATAGATCTTGACAATTTATTTCTTCTTTATGTTAGTAAGTGGTAATGAAATACGAAGATGCATATATATTGTCAAGAGGGAATTAAGCATTTTGTCGAGCTTTACTGTCTTGTTTTTGCACATACAGTGTTACACAGTGTGAAGAAGACTGCCTTTCATGTCCTAAGAAAGCTTTTCTAAAAAAAGTTTTGATGGTGCTGAAAATTGCCCGTTTTGTTCATTGGATCAATATAGGAGTTCTGTCTGTTCTCTTTTTAATGAAAAGACAGAGTATAGTAATTGTTTTTTCTTTTTATTGCTATTTTTAAAATTAAAATATGAGAAAAGATGAATTGTTAGCCTGTGGTCTTCTACTATATTACTGTTAGACTTTAAGAATATTTATAAGACTGTTATGCAGTAAAAGCATTGGGATTACGAAAATTTGATCAGTGTGCATGAAATTAAAGATCACTAATTCACATGACAGAAATTTTAATTTTTAAGTATGTGCTTGTGTGGCTGATACAACTGACATGCGAAAAATGTGTTAGAAGTAACCTGAACACCCTCTTATCTGTACAGTCCTTAAACGAAAGACTAAACCAGAAGGTAGATATCTAATAAATAGCAACACTTTGGTTATAGGGAGAGGACAGGATGTTGGGTTTCTGTGAGCGAAGGAAGAGGAGGGAAGAAGGGATTGCACTTTACTTGTAGATTTAAATTGGTGTATGCCATTTGGATACGCCAAGTATTTGGCAGTTTGAACATGCAGAGCTACTTTGAAGGTCAGATTTGAAAATAATATGTAGATATTCATTAATTACCTGATATTCTATTAATTATTCTGATAAGGTTGAATTTCATGCTTGTAATCAAGATTTTAAGTGATATGCAGGTGTTTGAAAACATATTGGACATGCACCTGAAGCTAGTTTTTATACTGCTGTGGTGGGTTGACCCTGGCTGGAGGGCAGGTGTCCATCAAAGCTGTTCTGTTATTCCCTTCCTCAGCTGAGCTGGGGAGAGAAAATACAAGGAAAGACTCATGGGTTGAGACAAGGACAAGGGAGGGATCACTCACCTGTTACCATCACAGGCAAAACAAACTTCACTTGGGGAAAATTAGATTAATGTATTGCCAATCAAATCAGAATAGGATGAGAGATAAAACCAAATCTTAAAACCACCTTCCCCCACCCCTCCCTTCTTCCTGAGCTCAGCTTTGCTCCCCATTTCTTTCCCTCCTCCCCTCCAGCGGTGCAGGGGGACAGGGAATGGAGGTTGTGGTCGGTCCATCACAGGGCGTCTCTGCTGCTCCTTCCTCCTCCGGGGACGATCCTCACACCCTGCCCCTGCTCCAGTGTGGGGTCCCTCCCATGGGAGACAGTCCTCCACCAACTGCTCCAGTGTGGGTCCTTCCCACGGGCTGCAGTTCTTCATGGACTGCTCCAGCGTGGGTCCCTTCCATGGGTGCAGTCCTTCAGGAGCAGCCTGCTCCAGCCTGGGCTTCCCATGGATTCACAGGCTCCTTTGGGAGGAGTCGGCTGCCCCAGTGTGGGGTCCTCCCCAGGCTGCAGACAGGTCCCTGCACCACCCCCCAACCCGTGACCCTCCATGGCTGCAGGGCACAGCCTGCCCTCTCACCATGAGCTGGAGGGGAACCTCTGCCCCGGCCACCTCCTCCCCGCCTTTCCGCACTGTCCTGGGGGTCTGCCTGGCTGTCTCTCTTGCATCTCTCCAGCTGTAATTCCGCAGTGACAACTTTTCCCTTTTCTTAACTACATTATCTCAGAGGTGCTGCCACTGTCACTGATGAGCTGGCCTTCGCCTGCGGCAGGTCCGTCTTGGAGCGGGCTGGCACTGGCTCTGTCGGACATAGGGGAAGCTTCCAGAAGCCATTCCTGCAGCTCCCCACTACCAAAACCTTGCCAATGTAATACATTAAGGATTCCTAAACCAGGATGTTCTTCCATTTCTTTGTTTGCTATTAGTGAGATTCAAGCTGGAAAGAAGGAGACTATTACCAGACAATTTTAAATTATAGCTAAAAATGCCAACTTGAAACAAAAAAGTGTTACTAAGAATCATATATGTTTTGAGTAAGATCTGTGCTGTGTGATGGAAATTTGGAAATTTCTGCAGCCTTGTGAATATTCAATTGTAAAACTTTTTTTTTTTTTAATCAAAGAGGCCATATGCTCATTGAACAATCCAGATTTCTGGAGGACAAGCAATTCCCATGCTAATTAAAACCAGATTATTCTAGTTGATTGAGGTAGATCAGGAATTTTACATAATAAAGTGTCCCTGAAATAGGCTTCAGGGATATTTTTCCTGGTTATGGTCCTTGACAGTTTGCAGGTTTTTTCATGCCTGTTGAGTTCATAGTGTAACTTGTCTGACAGCACCTGTATGTATGGACAGTTACCTTATCTGTACTTGTGACCTTCTCCTGATTATAATTATTTGTAGAGTTGGTCCAGTAATATAATTGTTCATAGACCTTAGTCCAATAGCAAATGTGGCATTGTCATTGATTGAGGGATTGCCAGGAAATTATTGATTCTGCTGAAGGATTTTGTTAACTGAAGATGGAATTCTTTATTTAAGCTTTTGCATGGCACAAACACGTTTTGATGTAATTTCAGAAAGAACTTGTCATGATGATTTGTTCTGTGTATTAAAATGTCTGTACCGTGTGTGTGGCAGCCTCCTTTCTGTGCTCAGCCACTGCAAGTACAAGAAAGGCCTAAGGGCGATGATGGACAAAAAAGGTGGGAAGAACTAGCAGAGGAAAAGCACTGTAATTTGAGCCTTTTGGGGGAAAGGTCTAGTTCTCATACGGCATAATTGCATGGCAGGTTGCTAAAGCAGTCGTGCTGATTGCCAAGCAGTTCTGAGGTATTAAAAAAATACATATTTTCCACCATTCAGCAGTGATGTCCAGTGGAGAGATTTTTAGGTCACTAAATAAATTATATTTTATTTTGAATTAAGATATAACTGCTAAATATATTGTAGTTCTGTATGTAAAAGGCTGTTCTAGACACACGTCTCCTTCCCACAGGAGAAACAGTGCTGTGTCTGAGAATAATATATTTACTATCTGGAGGCTGTTAGGTGGTTTGTTTATGCGAGAGGCAAATCGTTGAATTGGTGCTGGACTTAATCAGGGCACCCTACAGTCGAAGGGTTGTTATGACTTGTGCTTTTCACTAAGGATAAAAACTGGAGTTTACGCGCAGGTGTGATGAGGTGGTACATCAGTGTGAGGGACTCGCAGAGACGCTGCGGAAAATCTTCAGTCTGAGCAGATCACTGCCTGTATTATTTGGGGATGTATCGAGTATGTGTTTGGTGATGTGTGTTAGCTTTGCAGACTTGGATACCTCTTCCTAAAGATTAATTGATGAGTGAGGTCATCTCATTGCCAAACTGTTGCAATTATAGTATCAATCTTCATTCCTTGTTGTCATACAAGGTGGCATCCGCTTCCCGATGCCACCCACTGTGAGGTAGATCAGTAGTTGCTGCTGCTATGGAAAGAGACCTGTGTATGACTCCTTCAAAATTAATGTGGTGTCAGAACATATACATCCCTTAGTGGTGGAAAAATACCTGGGAATGGAAGTAGTATCGATGGGAGTGAGAGACATCTCTTTGACATTAGCAGGGATCTTTCATATTGCAAGATTTTTATTTAGGCATCCTGGCCCTTAAAGGCCAGTGTATCATAAGTCTGGGGAGAGGTTCGTCACTGTCGGAGGAAGGGACCTACAACAATCATCTCCTCCAACTACCTGGCCACCTCAGGGCTGACCAAAAGTTAAAGCGTGTTGTTAAGTGCATTGTCCAAATGCCTCTTAAAGCACTGACAAGCTTGGGGCATCGACCACCTCTCGAGGCGGTCTGTAGCTGTTGTGGTAAGACAGGCGTTATCTGTCCATTACAGATATCTCTGAATGGGAAGTGTTTGGATAGTGTTATCCAGTGCTATCAAGATAATAGTGAAAATTGCTTTCCTGGGACCTGGATCCCCTGACAGGGTTTATTCTGCTTAGGAGAGGCAGCAGTGGATTAATGGAAGGTGTTTTACTCAGCTCTGTGACCTGTGGGTGTTAGGCAGCAGTAGGAGAGACCCCCGGAGAAGAAATTTTGCCAGACTGCTGTACCTCACCTTAGCTGTTAAGGCTCCAACAATGATGATTGTTCCTTGTTGAATCGTCAGGGGGGGAACAAAACACAACTTCATTGCAGAAGCACATTCAGCGAAGTCCGTATTTCATTTCATCAGAAGGGTCTTGCCATTATTCCGTGAGGTCTGCACATGGTGGTGTGTTGTGGTAAAGTGTCCAGAACTGGTACATGTAGTTGGGGATGTAAGCAGGGAGAGACAGGAATATTCTGAGAGGAAAAGGTAACCAAGAACGCCTTGTGACATTGAAGGTAAGGGGTGACATCTTCAAGGAAATGAGATGCAGTAGGATTTCCGAGGTATACTCTGTTGTGTGGGCTTACCACACTGATAAGCTTTTGAGTTGCTGAATGTTAAACAAACATTGCACATACTTTTGATTCAAATATATATGTGATGGGGGTTTTGGGATGATTTTTTTGCTTTATACTCTGTGGCAGATTGAAATGATGGAGATGTGCAAAGAAATAGAGCAAAACATTTTTATAAATTCCTTTATAACCGGTTGTAGTTTATGGACTGGAATGCTACCTGATGTTGATGAGAGGAAGCTGAAAATAAGGGAAGCGTAGCTAGAGCAAGAAATGAGGATGACGGTGCTCTTATCATGCATGAGGCCAGTGTTGTGTTGGACTGTGTGTCTGGAGTTGGGATCCCCAGTTCAAGGAGAATATTACAAACTGGAGCAGTGGAAAGGGCAGATTAGGGGCTCCCCTTGGACCCACTTAAAACTGTGAAGAGCAGTTACAAAGATGAGGATTTGTGTTACTCTTCTGTGAAGTGGCAGACGATATAACAAGGGTCAGTGGGCCCACAGTGTGGCTTGGGAGGTGCAGGTTGGATGTTAGAGTAAACTTGTCCTCTGGGAGGAACAGGTTTCCGAGAGAGGTAAAGGATTTGCCTTGTTTGGAGGCTTTCAAGACTCGGCTAGATGTAGGCATGACTGACCTGATGTAACCTTGGCAACAGTCTTGCTTTGAGGGAAGGAGTGGAGGGACATCCAGTTTTCACTTCTGACCATCAGTCTGTGATGCTGTGAATGTTCGTTTTCACTTGTAACAGCTTTGGTGTTGGGGTTTTGGTTCCTAAGGATAAACAGAGTTAGGAAGCTGCATTTTCCCAACTTAGACTCTGCTTTTAATCAGAAAGTCAAATATATTCGACCCAGGTTATTGACACATGAGTAGAACAGGATGCTTGATACAGGTGGATCCCAAGTACAGTCAGATAAAATGAGAACAGCTCATTAGTGTGTTGCAGAGAGATAACGTGTGGCACTAACAACTTTAAAAATAGTATATAGACACTGTGTTTTAGGGGAGCTTCACTTTTTTTGGGTGGAGGGTATTGGTCTTTACCTCTTCACTAATAGAATAACTAGTTTTAAAAAAATCCTTTCAATATTGACCTTCTGAAAAATGCTGAAAGGAGCTTGAGCTGGTTAGTTTTCGGAGATGATCTGACAGCCATAGATGGTTTAAGTGCCATTGACCATGACCGGTGTCATTTTCATGGGAAGATGTGTGTGTATACACTGTGGATATCAGACAAGTCTCCAAAAAGCAATCATCTCAAGTTCCTTTCAGTGCGTGTGTGAGTGTATTTTATATATAATTAGTGAACACTTGTGTGGGTTTTTTATATGAATATTTTTTCAAATTTGTAGATAAACCAAGTCACAGCAAATAAAAAGAGGAATTCAAAACTGTCACAATATTATCGTATTGAGAATTGGTTGAAGTTTTCAGACACTGGAACCCTCAAAAATGAATATCCTAGTAAGAAGACACAGCAAAAATGTTATCTGGGAAAAAAATTGTATATATATTGTAGGAGATAGATGTTGATGAATGAAAACTTGTAATTGGGAACAGTAGACATCTGATAAAACTTTTTGGAAAATGAAGGGGAAAAAAAGGTGATTCATTCACACAAGCAGCCAAGAATGACCGTGAATGCAAAAATACAGTTGATATGAGGGGTAGAGGTAAAAGAAAAAATTAAGTGTAGCAAGATATATGCAAGTCACTTGCAAAGTTAATATTGACCATTTCTCACTTAAACACTTGCCTGGTTTTGTTTGGCAGAAGTGTTTTGGCATATGTTTGTAATTGAAAGCTTTCTTTCACAGACAGGCCTCATAACCCTATGGTGAATGCTGGAGCAATTGTCATCACGTCTTTAATCAAGGTAAAAAGTTCATTTTTAGTTTCTCTCGGAGTATTTTAATAGAATGTAGAAAAAAGTCTTGTACAGATTATGGACTGTTTTCATTTTATGCGTGCAACTCCCGACGGCAGTTTATACCTTAGCAGGTAGACAAGTGTTTTGGAAACAATAACACTTCCAAGCAAATGCAACATTAGACTAGCAGTTGTTAAAAAGTCTCTCTCTTTCCTTAACATTTTTACTGTTTTGTTTCCTCCTTTAACTGCATGACGCTTGTTATTCTTGAGCCAACTGCCTCATACTTACTAAATGTTAAGAGTATGTCCCCTGGCATACACGTTACAGCCTTCAGAAGTATGTTTCTGAATGCCTGCTGCTCTTAGGTAGCGTAAAGTGACGAGAGTACTTCTCGCTGTGCAGAAGAAACGGAAGATGCTGTGCTTTGTACAGGAGCAATGCAGCTACAGTCACACGTCAATCTTAAAACTGAATTTGTCTGCTGTTAACATACTGGGCAACTACAGGATGTTTAACTTCTATGTTGTGTAGTTTCTGTTGGGGTGGTAAATGTGCTTGCTTAAATAAGTGTGTTTGGAAACAGTTACCCCTTTTTTTCCGAGTAAACAAGTTGAATAATGAGCTAACATCTTTAGCCCACAGTCCTGCAGCTTTTGGAAAGCTGTATTTTATTTTTCTTTAGAATAGCTGTATGTATCACTTGAAGTTGTAAATGGCACAAATTCTGTGTAATGCTAATGTTTGCCAGATACTTTACTTGTGTTTTCTGCCTTTTTTTTTTTTTGGTAGCCACTGCTACAAAAGCCTATTTATTTGTTTTTAAGGGTACCTGCTTAGAACTGTGGGGATCATGTCAATCCCCTGGAGTTTTGAAGTAGAAAACTTAATACTGTTACTTCAGAGGTCTGAAAATCTTGTTTACAGCCTTTGTCTTGGTTATGTTTCAAAGTCCACTAGCTACAGAGTGTTTCCTACCTCCTATTTCCAAATTGTTGTTTTTAAAATTACTTAGATCATGATTTTCTGTTATTTTATATTTAAAGAAGGTGTAAGAACTCCTGCTCAAAGACATTTATCTTTAATAGCTGTAGGTGAAAGAAAATGGCCTTAAGTATGACAGGTAAATTTATTCACATTTAATTTTTTTTTAAAAGGTTGACTGAGCATTGAAATTCACTCGGCTAACAGTGAATTTTAAAATCTGATTTAACACATTTGTCTGAAATGTCAAAATGTTAGTCCTACTACAACATGCCCTACCTGGTCGTAAGGCAAAACACAAACGTGTGCCTCTTGCAGAAGGCACGTCGTTCTTGGTAAATGGTGTACTCCCAGATAGACAACACGGATTTGTTTACTGCATGCAACTGTGATACTTGTTAGAAGGTTGGGGGATTGTTTTTGCTGGGTGGCGGGATTTTTATTATTTTATTTTATTTTAATTTATTTTTTTTCTGTTATTTTCTTATGAAAAATACTGGATTGCTCTGACGTTTTTGCATGTGGTAACTGCATGTCTAATGGACCCATATCATACTTATCACACTCCATTATTTGTTTTCAGTGTGATTAAAGTGTAGATTATTTTATGTACTGCTTCCCCTAAGATACCATTTATCATTTGAATAACTAACCAAACTAAACATATTCTGAAGAAAATTACACAGAGGGTCACAGCTAGAAAGTTACTTAATAGTTGTATTTTTTGTGAAATAACTTCTTTACAGTCTGCAGCTTAACAATATTCCTTTTAACTGTTCAGTGACTTAAGTAATTAACATTTATAATTGACCTAAGACTTGCCACCTTTTCCAGCAAACTAGTTTTCATTAACCCATGTTTTTCCCTCAGTTCCTCTTCATTCTTTGTGTTGATTTAAGGTGTTACTTGCCTATCTTGAAGACTCTGTATGGCTCTTAGAGTCCAAGAAAATTAAGGGTTTATTAAACATGGTTGAAGTCACCATGTATGACAGATTTATCTAATGATTGCATGTTACTAGCTGTGGGGAGATTGTTGCTGCATTTCGGTCTTACGAATGCTTTTACCTTCTTTGATATTAATTATTTTATCTCTTTCTGAGAAATTGATACAAGAAATCTTGCAAACTTTACACACATGGTACTGAATTTAGGAGCTGTTAGTATACCTGATCTTGCACAATACTGCCCTTAGAATCTGACATAAATTATGATTACTTGTGGATAAGAAATGACGCTTGAAGTAATCTTTTTGTCAGAATATGTAATATGTTAACATTTTAGAGGGG